GGATGCATGGAATAGCCTTCCAGCTGAAGTGGTAGAGGTTAACACAGTAAAGGAGTTTAAGCATGCGTGGGATAGGCATAAGGCTATCCTAACTATAAGATAAGGCTAGGGACTAATGAAAGTATTTAGAAAATTGGGCAGACTAGATGGGCCGAATGGTTCTTATCTGCCGTCACATTGTATGTTTCTAAAAGGAAAGCCGAGGTCAAGGAAGCCAGAAATACACAAATACAGTTTAAACAAGCCAAGTCAGGGAAACCAGAAATCGGAATAACAAGGAATAGCCAAGGTCAAAATACCAGAATATCAGACTCACAAGTATAAACGCACTCTCGGGAACCAGGAACAGGAAACCACGACAGGGCAAGGTACTGGGGTGAATCAGGGATTTATATATCCCTCTCTAGGCTCGAATTGGTCAGAGGGTGACCTCTGACCCCAGAACGTGCGCATGCGTTGACATCGTGACGTCACGTGCACGTTCCTATAATTGGAGCCATCGATGGACGCGACCGCATGGTCGGTGCCATCTTGGATTCGCCTGGGCAGCGTGGAGGAGTGGTTCCCGGATCGCCGCCGAGCAGGTAACCTCAGCAATGTGGCACGGTCATGCCGGTCATGGCACCACCGTCGTTAATCAGAGGCTGAATGCCAGTGAATGATTTGTGTCAGCTGTGCTGCTACGTAATAAAAGGTGAGGTAATCACAATCCCCCCCTGTACTTTGGAAGAAGGCTGCGGGCAAGCCTTGGAAATTTATTTTGCCATTTAAATGTGTCCATTGCCTTTTGTATCCCTGCTAGGTCTCCCCTGGTGACCCTCACCGGTAGGGTTTAAAATAGAAATAGTAGTCTGGGCACGACGTTCATCTTAATGGCATGGATGCATCCCAACCAAGAGATTGGTTTGTCTGTCTACTGTTCCAACTTTCTAATGAGGATGCAGAAAAGAGGGACATAGTTGTGGTTAAATAATTATGCAGGATCTGCTGTCAAACGAACATCCAAATAAGTGAATTCCTAGGAGGAAATCTTGATGTGATAGTTATTTCGGAGAAGTGCCATGTCCGGGGTCGAGAGGTGAAATTGCATTGCTACTGATTTTGTTGAATTGACTTTGTATACAGATAAGTCACCATGACAACGGAGGAGCGTTATCAGATGCGTCATAGTAGCCAGTGGGTCAGGAGGACATCGGGATAGGCTGATACCTTGAATTGCTGTCCCAGCTCATCTATCCCCTACATGTTTAGGTGTGTCCTGATAGCGTGTAGTAGTGGTTCTAAAGGAGTAGGGAGAGGGAACATCCATGCCTCGTCCTGTTGCCCAGGGGGAATAGGGTCTTTGTGGCTCCCGTTATTAGAGTCTGAGTTTAAACAGTTTCCGGCATGGTGGCAGAGTGGGTGTGTATTTTTGGTTTTTGGTTTACCTCTTTGTCTCAGGCTCAGGGCTCTGGCTATCATATTGAAACAAAGAAAGGAAATAAGTTGCGCTTACTGGATTAGATCTCACCGCACCATGACATTGGTGCATACCCCAGTCCTTCTCCTTCCATCCCCTTTAGTATATTGGCAAGTGCCTTAATTACACATCAAATTGTTCCCATAAGTCCCACACTTTGGTGAAAGTGGATTTGGAGTTCCTGACCTGAGCAGTTAGTTTGTTCATAAGATAATTGTCTCCGATTTTATTAATGACTGAGGAATCATTTTGTTTGCTTTCTCATAGAATAATTGTTTAGACCAAATCACTGAACGGGCTACTTCCTCAAGGCATAAATCTTTGATGGAGTTTACAGTTAGTCGGATTGGTCTTATGTTGCTGTTCCATTTTTTTTTTTTTTTTTTTAGTAGATTGGAGTTCCAATAGGCATTTTGGCATTTTTTTTTATTTTGTTTTTTTATGTGTGGCCACCTTGATGAGGTTTCCTCAGAGGAGAGTCTTGTGGGATGCCCAGATTATGGTGGGATCCATGTCTGGTGTGGCATTTTGTTCAAAATAGTCTATGATAGCTGTTCGGGTCGAGTACCTGATATTTTCATCCTTAAGGAGGCTGTTGTTTAGTTTCCAGGAACAATTTGGGTTAAATTGAAGTTTGCCAAAGGTGACCATGATGTCTGCATGGTCTTACCAGGTTATGCTATTGATTTCTGAGTGTATGGCTTTGGTCATCCCATTCCCATTAAGAAAAATATTAACTATTCTAGAGTATATGTCATGAGGATTGGAGTAGAACGTTAAGTCCCGGGTGTCGGACGTCTAGCAGGCCTGTGTGGGTTAAGAATTCATGCATGAGTCTCACTGTAATGATATTGATGTAACAAAGTTTTGGAGTCCAGTAGCCAGATCAGCAATGTTTTCTGCCAGAGGTAGCCACTCGTTACCCAGGTGGTTGAGCCCCTGAGCCTTGAGTGGCCTTCTAGTCTTTAGCAGAGATGGGAGACTGGAACAGAAAGATGATAATCGTAGTGAGGCAAGCCGAGGTCAATGGGAAGGAGAAGCAGCAAAGTCAAAACAGTCCAAATTCAGCAACAGGTAGGAGAAACAGGAATAAGCTTGATTAGAGAGTACAGGAACCACAATAATCTGGCAAAGGTACAGAGACAGGAAGTGGCTTTTATAGGCCAAGAACCAGACACCTGACCAGACACAGCTGAAGAGAGTTGTCACTGATAACCTTGACTCTACAAGCAATGGTATCAGATCTCAGGTAAATTTACAAAAGGTAGGCTGGTGTACTGGTAAGGAAGAGGTTTAGCACCATGTAAACCAGGGTTCGAAACCCAGCAGAGTCAGTTCCTCAGACTCACTTGCCCTACCCATTCCTGTGATCTGTGATCCCGGTTTAGACTTACTGTCAACTGCCGATATGGCACATCATTAAAGTCTCCACCCAGCACACTTCCTGTACTAGATATGAAAGTCTCAAGGGTATACCAAAAGGATGTGTCTGGTTCATTGGGGGGCGTAGACATTTGTTATGTGGATCCTGGTATTACAGAGGGTACCTGCAATGCCTAAGTACCGTCCCTCTTGGTCAGGTTGGGTTACAGTGATCTGAAGATAGCATCTCTTATTAATCACGAATGATCTCCTGCCTTTTTACGCAGTGTTCGTGCTTCTTGGCTATCCGTATATATAATCTGTCAGTCTTTTCTAGTGGTACGGGCGGTATCCAGGTGCACACTGGAGTATAGGAGTATCAGAGAGTAGAAGAGAAAACAAGAGTGGTAGAAACATGTAACAAAAACATAACAACCATGTACATAGATCTCTGGTCTTACATTTCGCATGGGAGTGTGCGCCAACCCTGTCGGTCGAAACCATGGTCACCCTCCAGGGTTGGCAGCATCCAGCCACAATCTACTGCACCTTTAAATGCATTTCTCAGAGTATCCAAAGAAGCCTGTACTATATGACATCTAGTAACATACAGTGTAAAGCACATGAATAACATTACATTGCTTCATTTCTGTCATAACGCTGGTGGATAGTATCGGCGTGATCACGCCTGATCAGTGCGGTCACGCCAATACTTCTGCCGCAACTAAGTCCCCGCTGCTGTATATTACACAGTGCCTACACTAATGATGGCACCGGCATGTGTGTGATGTCATGCTGTCGATGCATACGCACGTTTTGGGGTTAAGGGCCACGTACTGACCAATCACCCTGTAATGCCTTTTCTCAGTGCCCTGTTGTGGTTTCCACTTGTTGGTTGTCAGAGAGCACTTTCTTGGTAATATTTTCAGTTTTTTTTTTTACTATGACTTGTATTTTGACTTTCTCTTCTTCTGGTATCATGACTTTTGGCTAGTATTTTCATACTGTCTCATTCTGTATCACAGACCTCGGCTTGTTTGTTGTCCTTTCTCTTTAACATTGTTTGGCCATTCTAAGGCCCGGTATACGTTGTTTGTGTTAGTTTGGCATGTTGGGTCATACAGTAGTCGTAAAAATGAAAATCCTAACTGTTGGAGTTTCCTAAGTAAGGTAGGAGAACTTGGGTTAAGCTTTTTTTCGAGTACCTTAAGGTAGCCATGTGGCCTGTAGCCATGAGTGACGTAATAAAGGGGGTCCACAGTTGAGCCATTAAAAAAGGGTAGGTTTGAGCATGTTTGTAGCGTAGTTGTTCAATCTGTTGTTGTTTTTTGTATTTTATTTATTTATCTATACACCCCCACGGCCCAGGGGTGAATGTAGGAGAGAGTCATATGTGGGTTTTATCACCCCAGATCTGGTCAGGTCATGGGGTTAAGTGACCCATCGGGCCCCCTGGGCCCGTTGCTCTTAAAGTCAGCAGAATTACCGTGACAGTAGACCACATACAATTAGTAAACCATACAAATGCAAATAAAGTGACATATAAGGCAAATATTTACAGTACAGGTAAGGACAAAAGCAGGAGAATAGTCAAGGGTAAGCCAAAGTAAGAGGATGCCAGAAGTCAGGATACACGGTAATAAAGCCAAGGTCAGAGGATGCCAGAAGTCAGGATACACAATGCGAATAAGCCAAGGTCAGGAGCCAGGAGCCAGGAGCAATACGATCTGGATACACAAAAACAGGAACCATGTTACTGTAACCATCATACAGTACAGTACCAGTATCTGTATCTGTTCATACAGTGCAGTACCAGTATCTGTACCTGTTTAACCAGTACAGTAAATACAGTACATACAGTACAGTATACAAATGTCCAACAGTCAAAACCCCATCATGGTTCCACCAGCAAGAAGAAAGACATATGAAGCCAGTTTCAAACTTAAAGTTGTAAACTTAACCATTGAACCTAATAACTGCGCTGCTGCAAGACAATATGGAGTAACAGAAAAGATGGTTCGGGATTGGAAAGCAAATGAAAAAGCATTAAAGACTATGCCAAGGGGTAAGTGTGCATTAAGAAGAGGCACCCCACATTGGCCAGAACTCGAAAAACATGTAGCAGTCATGGTGAATGAGCATCGTCAAAACTGTTATGTAGTGACACGAAATAGAATACGTTTGTTTGCACTTCAGTGGGCCAAATCTAACCCAGATCACAGCAACAGATTTAAGGCCACTGTATCCTGGTGTACTAGATTCATGGGAAGGCATAATATGGTACTGAGGCAAAAGATGAAAATTGCCCAAAAATTACCTGCAGATCTTGACAGCAAAGTACATAGTTTCCATCGATACGTAATACAGCAGCGCACTAAACATGGCTATGTGTTAAGTAGTATTGGAAATATGGATGAAACTCCAATGAATTTTGATATGGTTGGAAATAAAACTGTCCATCAAAAAGGTGAAAAAACTATTTTAATTAAAACAACAGGACATGAGAAGTCCAGTTTTACAGTGGTACTAGGATGCACAGCTGATGGCGCCAAACTGAGACCAATGATTATTTTTAAAAGAAAAACAATGCCGAAACTCAAGTTCCCTGTTGGTTGTTTTGTACATGTGAATGAAAAAGGCTGGATGGATGAAGAAGGGGTAAAGCTATGGCTTGATAATGTATGGAGCAGGCGACCAGGTGGACTTATTCAAAAACGTAGTCTACTGGTGTGGGATATGTTTAGGGCTCATTTAACTCCCAGCACCAAACAAAGGCTTGCAAGGCTAAACACAGATGCAGCAGTTATTCCTGCAGGATTGACATCGTTGGTACAGCCACTGGATGTGTGCCTAAACAAGCCATTTAAAGATCGCATTTGAGAACAGTGGAATGAATGGATGGTTAGCGGCGAAAAGTCATTCACAAAAGGAGGAAACATGCGTGCTCCACAGTTGGATGTTTTGTGCAAGTTTGTCATAAAAGCCTGGAATGATATTGATGCAGAAACAGTAATGAAGTCTTTCAACAAGTGTGGCATATCAAATACATCAGATGGTATGGAGGACGACTACTTGTGGCAAGATGAAGAGGAAGCCGAAGCTGAGACCACACCATCTAATACACCATCTGATACAGAATTTGATCCATACGATGACTGCCTTACAAATGTATCACAAGATGTCATTGATGTACTTATGATATCAGATGACGAACAGGAGGATTTTGAAGGCTTTTAAAGGGAAACTGTCTCGCCAGCAAAACCTGTAAAATGACAGTGGTTTGCAGTTATGATGGGCGTTGCTAACTCGCCAGGGACTTGCTCTCTCTCTATTGTTTGCTATCTTCCTCCTATCATCATCATCATTTCCAGTTTGGTTGACAGCTTAGAAAACAAACAGCATGGCAGCTCCCATGGGTTTATTGCCTTATCCTTCCTTTCAGCTTTAGAGTGAATTAGGAAACGTTTAATCCACTTGCACTGTTTTATGTTTACATGTTTGATGACAAACAGCCTTATGTTTATAAGTGACAGTTTTCCTGCTAAATACCTGCATGTCATAAGCATTTGAATTCAAATTACCATATTGAAATCAAATCTGATTTTTTTTAATTTTTATTTGGTGTGCGTTGGAAGAGGGGTAGTCTTATACGGTGAGTAATTTCCAAACTCTATATTTTAACTGGAAAAGTTGGGGGTCGTCTTATACGCCCAGTCGTCTTATACGCCGTAAAATACAGTAACTTTCATCCCCCAGTGTTGGAGACAAGGTGAGAATAATACTGCAGGACTATGGCACAGAACAATCACAGTTCAAATCCCCTGTTGGGCACTTCTGGGGTGACCACGTCTGGCCGTTTGGATGTCACAGTGAGAGCCGTGACAGATATAAGGGTGTGGGTTCTTCCCATCTTGAATGCCACAATCTTAAATGACCCCCAGGTGAATTGGATTTCATGTTGCTTCAGCAGATCAGCCGCCGGATTCCAATACCTCTGCCGCTGTAAAGTGACCAAGGACATGTCTTGAAATGGTGACAGGGTCGACCCCTGATAAATAAAGTTGTGATCCTGTCCATATTTAAGAATAACTTCCTTGGTGGTAAAATAGTGGAAGTGAATTATGAAATCGCGTGGCACCTTGCCATCAGCTCTACCAGCCTGTATCTGTGTAATCAATAGTCCACTGCTTCTCTGGAATGCCTGGGACAAGATTTTTGAAGTAGTCTGGGCCTTCATTAGGCGTTTCAGGTAGGCCACAGACGCGTAACTTGTGGCAGTTTGATAAATCTTCCACTATCATCTCCAGGCTGCTGAGTTGTGTTTACATCAAGGATAAGTGGTGTACCACCATATTGTGGGCTTGTGCCACAGACTCGACCTGGTTTTCAAGGGCTATAGTGCGCATTCTCAAGGCCTGAATTGCAGTCTTCATTTCCTGAGATTTCTCCAGTCAGATAACATCTAATTTCAGTTAATTTCATGAGGATTCGTGAGGTGTCCCCTGGCTTGGATTCTGGTGGTTCACTGTCTGGAATACTGACTGGGGTCCGGGAGTCATGAGAGTCCGGCAGGGCTTGAGATGCACATGAGGCCGTGAACATGTCGGCCACTGATGCCACTGATTTTATCCGATACGGATTTGCTCCAGAGCCCCAGGAGGACATCAAGGTGAGTTTGGATAGGCACTATGAGGTGTGATGCCGTTTACAAGTGTTGAATTGCAGGTGGATGTGCGTGAGCCTTCGGAGTTAAGCAGCCATTAAGGTCGGCAGTCAGACCACATCCCTGGAAAGTCAGATTTGATGAACAGTCAGACCACCTTACTGTTAGAGGGCAAGACACCTAAAGATCTGCCTTACATAAATTCTCATAGATTATTATATGTTTGTTTGAGCAGGGCCTTCAAATAAACTATGTCTAGCAGAAAAATATCTGCACTTTAAATTAGTACATTGTTGGGAACTTAGTCTATTATCCAATCTGTTATTTTTTGTTTATTTGCAGTAATTACATGGACTTTTTTCTATGTAGCATTCAATTTGCAACTTGCAACAATCCATATTGACATCAGTGTGTGAAATATTCACATGAAATCAACGTTAAGGCAACACAGTCTGCCCATCAAGGGAGTAGACTGAGCCTAGATGCCAGTAGATATGTCCAGTCTTGCATATATATTTACATTACCTCGTTACTTTACTACATTAATAATAATAATAACAAAGTATTTAACCACACGTCCTAAACTGCTCTTTTTAATCTGGTGTTTTCCCTGCTCCCCTTAAGCATGCTACTGTTGTACCCATCCTAAAAAATCCATCCCTAAACCCTTTTTCCACTTCCAACTATCGTCCCAAATCTCTGCTTCCTTTTTCCTGAAAGCTTCTAGAAAGACTTGTCTTTACTCGTATGACTCACTTCCTAAATTTCAACTCCCTCCTCGATCCTCTTCAATCTGGCTTTCGCCCCCTCCACTCTACTGAGACTGCTCTTATTAAAGTTACAAATAACCTAATCACAGCCAAATCTAAAGGCCACTACTCCATACTAATTCTTCTTGACATTTCTGCTGCCTTTGACACTATTGATCATGGCCTCCTTCTCCTAACTCTTCAATCTCTTCGTCTCTGTGATACATCCCTCTCATGGTTCTCCTCCTATCTCTCCCAATACTCCTTTAGTGTCTCTTTTTCCAACAGCACCTCCTCTTCTCATCCAGTCTTAGTCGGAGTCCCTCAAGGTTCAGTTCTTTGTCTCCTTTTGTTCTCTCTCTATATTGCCTCTCTTGGCAAACTCATTTGGATTCCACCATCACCTGTACGCTGACGACACCCAGATATATCTCTCCTCCCCTGACCTCTTCCATGCTGTCCTACAATGTGTCACCAATTGCCTCTCTTTTATCTCTGTCCTCACGCTTTCTGAAGTTCAATCTCTCTAAAACTGAGTTTCTTATTTTTCCTCCTCATAACACTGATCCTTCTCCTTCACTCTCCCTGCAGTTGATGGTACTTGCCTCACCCCATCCTTTCAAGCTCGCTGTCTTGGTGTCACTTTTGATCCTGGCCTCACCTTTGTGACTCATGTCCAGTCTGTTGCTAAAACCTGTCGATTTCAACTTAAAAAAAACATTGCCTGCACACGCCCATTTCTTATGCAAGATGCTGCCAAGAAGCTTGTTCACACTCTAGTAATCTTTTGCATCTACAAAGTGTCAGCTCAGTAGTTTTACCCTTAGTAAAAAGGGAAAAATATAACAATATGATATTGTAAATCTAGTCTTGAAAGAACTTAATGACAATAAACATATTATAATTAAACCTGAAGATAAAGGTAGAGGGTGGTAATTATGGACACTATATAATATGAAGAGGAGTGCAATAGAAATTTAAAAGACATAACTACTTATCAAATTTTAAATAAAGACCCTATGAAAGAGACCCAGAAGAATTTGCATATGCTTCTAGAAAAAGGAAGAATTTTAGGTACCCTAACCAAAAATGAATACAAATATGTCTCAGTAACACATCCTATTAAACCATCTTCTACTTTCTCTGGAAAATTCATAAAAACCTTCGAAAACCTCCAGGTAGACCAATTATCTCGGGTATAGAATCTGCTAATCTGTCCCAATATATAGATGTCCTCCTACAACCTTATGTTAAGACGTCCAAGTCCTATCTAAAAGACAGTGGAGAACTTTTAAAATTGTTACACTGTTATTAAACATCTCCTAGGTCTTCAAGCAATCCGACATACCCTCTATCAAAAAAGGGACATGCATCTAGAACAGACAGAGATTTTAATAGAGTGCATACATTTTATACTAACTAATAACTTCTTTTGACATGATCAAGAAATATATCTTCAGGTAACAGTGATGGGAACTAGATTCCCACCCAGTTAAACTAATATTTTTATGACCTTCTGGTAACACTTTTTATTTGGGAAGGCCATCCCTGGGTGACGATTCTAGTCCTCTACAAATGCTATATAGATGACTGTTTTTTTTATTTGGGAAGGGGAAGAAGAATTTCTATTAGAATTTTTTAAGTACATAAACACTAATGATTTTAACTTATTTTTTTTACCTATAAGTATCATTGTACGGAAATAGATTTTTTAGATTTGGTGCTCCATGTTGAACATAATGTCCTCAAAACAAGGAATTTTTTAAAAAAGTGTGAATGTCAACAGCTTTATCATGAACTCGAGCGGTCACTACTAACCCTGGATCAATAATGTACTTTTGGGTAAATTCTGCAGAATTAAAAACAACTGTACAGACGAGTCAGTCTGTCAAAAACAAATTAAAATTATTAAACAACAATTTGAAGAAAAATAATACAATACGGAACTATTGAATAAATCAATACAGGAAGTCAGTAAGTTGGATAGAAAACTAATATTACAACCTCGGGACCAAAAAAAACGTTGAAAATAATTTTAACTGTCCTCTTATTTTTAAGAAAAATAATACAGAAAATTTGGCTTTTTACTCCAGGACCCAATTTTAGGCACAGCCTTACCTCCCAAACCTAAGATAGTTTTCATAGGAGCACCAACTATAAAACAAAAAAATAGTACACACTTTCCAAGCACCTGAAATAAAAAAGCATTTTTTAAATGAAAATAAAGGTTTCTATAAGTGCGGTCAGTGCAATATATTCAAACCTCAGGGCCACCTGTTGGTAAAATTACTAGCTTTCGATCACATAAGACTTACAATATTGAAGACTGCATCACCTGTCATTCAAAGTAGGTCATATATCTATTAGAATGTAAGTAAACACACTTACAATATAAAAAGAAAGTTCGAGAACCATACCCTGTCAAAACACTTTATGGAAGTCCATATTGGTGACCCTAAAACAGGGCCGGACTGGGAGAAAAATTCGGCCAGGGCATTTTTTTAACACAGCGGCCCACTAAAAAGGGGGCGGGGCAGAGGAGGTGTGTTTTGTCATCACCAATGACAAACACGCCTCCTCTCAAAGTGAGCATGTTGGTTCAATGCTCTTCCAGGGCAGACCATGCGCAGAGCTCTGCTGAAGAGCTCTAGCATGAGAAAAAAGTCCTGTATTTGTTCTGCACAGTGCAAGCAAATTTAATAACATGCTTGCACTGTGTTTCCTTGCAACTTGTCTCTGGTGTCTCTATAAATGGATACCAGGAGACAAAAGGCCAGGAAAGAGTATTGTGCATGTGTTTGGAGCCTGCTTGTGGTATTGCGTGTGTGTAGAGTGAGCTGGTCGTGGTGTGGTATTGTGTAATAAGGTCGGTTTTAGTCGTGTTGTGTTTGTGGTGTAATGTGATGCATATGTGGCTCAGGAACCCCCTCCCGCACGGCTCTGGAAAGGGGTTAAAACTTACCTTTTTCCAGCACCGGGCGGGGAGCTCTCCTCCTCCGATCCGCCCCGTCGGCTGAATGCGCACGCGCGGCAAGAGCTGCGCGCGCATTCAGCCGGTCGCATAGGAAAGCATTTATAATGCTTTCCTATGGACGCTTGCGTGCTCTCACTGTGATTTTCACAGTGAAAAGCACGCAAGCTCCTCTAGCGGCTGTCAATGAGACAGCTGCTAGAGGCTTTGGGGGAAGGCTTAACCCATTGATAAACATAGCAGTTTCTCTGAAACTGCTATGTTTATAAAACAATAGGTTAACCCTAGAAGGACCTGGCACCAAGACCACTTCATTAAGCTGAAGTGGTCTGGGTGGCTAATGTGGTCCTTTAAGAGTGTAGTGTGTGTGTGTGTATATATATATATATATATATATATATATATATATATATATATATATTTGGAAGTATTGTGTATGTGTGTGGTGCAGTGTGTTGGGGGGGGTTCTGTGTGTATGTGAGGGGTGCAGTATGTGTGTGTGTGAGGGTGCGGTGTATGTGTGTGTGTGAGGGTGCGGTGTAGGTGTGTGTGTGAGGGTGCGGTGTAGGTGTGTGTGTGAGGGTGCGGTGTAGGTGTGTGTGTGAGTGTGAGGGTGCGGTGTATGTGTGTGTGTGAGGGTGCGGTGTGTGTGTGTGTGTGAGGGTGCGGTGTGTGTGATGTGTGTGAGAGTGCCGTGTGTGAGTGATGGGTGTGAGAGTGCCGTGTGTGAGTGATGGGTGTGAGAGATGGGTGTGAGAGTGCTGTGTGAGTGATGGGTGTGAGAGTGCTGTGTGAGTGATGGGTGTGAGAGTGCTGTGTGAGATGGGTGTGAGAGAGTGCTCTGTGAGAGTGCTGTGAGAGAGTGCTGTGTGTGTGTGAAAGTGCTGTGTGTGATGGGTGTGAGAATGCTGTGTGTGTGTGAGTGCTCTGTGAGAGTGCGCTGTGTGTGATGGTGTGAGAGTGCTGGGTGTGAGAGTGCTGTGTGTGATGGGTAAGAGAGTGCTGGGTGTGAGTGATGGGTGTGAGAGTGCTGTGTGTGATGGGTGTGAGAGTGCTGTGTGAGAGAGTGCTGTGTGTAATGTGTGTGAGAGTGCTGTGTGTGATGGGTGAGAGTGCTGTGTGTAATGTGTGTGAGAGTGCTGTGTGTGATGGGTGAGAGTGCTGTGTGTGAGAGTGCTGTGTGAGAGTGCTGTGTGAGAGAGTGCTGTGAGAGTGCTGTGTGAGAGAGTGCTGTGTGTGATGGGTGTGAGAGTGCTGTGGGAGAGAGTGCTGTGTGTGATGGGTGTGAGAGTGCTGTGGGAGAGAGTGCTGTGTGTGATGGGTGTGAGAGTGCTGTGGGAGAGAGTGCTGTGTGTGATGGGTGTGAGAGTGCTGTGGGAGAGAGTGCTGTGTGTGATGGGTGTGAGAGTGCTGTGTGTGATAGAGTGCTGTATAAATGTTATTGTGTGTGTGTGTAGGGGGGGGTAAATAAAAAAAAAAAAAAAGTCATTATTTCCCCCCCTCCCTTCTTACCTTTAGCCTGGGAGGGGGGGGGTCCGGCACGCTGGAAGGCGGGGTGGAGCTGTTCCCTGGTGGTCCTCGTGGGTGAGTGAACTCTAGCCTGTGAGGCTAGAGTTCACTCTCGCGAGATCCGGTCGTTGCCATGGCAACGTGCCGGATCTCGCGAGAGGAACCCGGCGGAGCTGCAAGTTAGAGCTCCGCCGGGTCCTCTCTCCAGCCTAGCTGGCTGTCTCCCTCCCTCCCCGCCGGCAGCCGCATGTGGGCCAGTCAGGGAGATCCTTGATCCCCCCACCGGCCCGTCGTGACAAACAGCGGGGCCGGCGCTAGGAGAGTGCCGGCCCTGCATAGACCGGCAGGGGAGATCCTGTGATCTCCCCTGCCGGCCTCGGCCCATGGCCACCGCGGCCCACCGGGCATTTGCCCGGTGTGCCTGATGGCCAGTCCGGGCCTGCCCTAAAACACTCAAATTCTGTGGGATCCAACTAGTACACATACCCTGGAGAGGAGCGGACTTGAGCAAAAGATTAACTAGGCAAGAAATGTTTTGGATCCACAGTCTAAAAACATTAGTCCTATTTGGACTTAATACAGAATTAGAACTCATTAATAATTTCTAAACCTGAGATTGCTATTTTTTTCTTTATTTCTGTTTTTTTTTAGATTGCTATTTACTTCTGCTTTTTATTTTTCGTACAGCTTCCACTTTCCCTTTCATATTTATTATTTGTCCCTAAAAATTTCTCCTTTCCACACTGTGCAATATTTACCAAGGGGTGCTTAAGATCAACCGTTTCCAGTATCCCTTTATGACCCATTGTTTTTTGGGGGGCATCATGTTAATAGGATGTTAAAGGACCACTATAGTGCCAGGAAAACATACTCGTTTTCCTGGCAGTATAGTGCCCTGAGTGTGCCCCCACCCTCAGGGACCCCCTCCCGCCCGGCTCTGGGGAGAGGAAAGGTTAAAACTTACCTTTTTCCAGCGCTGGACGGGGAGCTCTCCTCCTCCTCTCCTCCCATTCGGGTGAATGCGCACGCGCGGCAAGAGCTGCGCGCGCATTCAGCCGGTCTCATAGGAAAGCATTTTCAATGCTTTCCTTTGGACGCTTGCGTGTTCTCACTGAGATTTTCACAGTGAGAATCACGCAAGCGCCTCTAGCGGCTGTCAATGAGACAGCCACTAGAGAATTTGAGGGCTGGATTAACCCATTTATAAACATAGCAGTTTCTCTGAAACTGCTATGTTTATAAGAAAATGGGTTAACCCTAGCTGGACCTGGCACCCAGACCACTTCATTAAGCTGCCTAGAGTGGTCATTTAAGTAAATATGTAATCTTTTTTCCGCCTGTACTGTTAATCTTAATTTTTTTACATTATTTGCTCTTGACTATGTTTTAATATTGGGTCCAATTTTTGTTTTATTTTATTCACATAAATCTTTTATTCTATTCTATTTCAAATATAATCCTCCTCGCATTTTTTTCGTACTGTAGTATATTATACCGGATCATAAATCATCCCCTAAGAGTTCACAGTAATCCTTTTTTTAAAACATAGAATTGTTGTCAGAATCCTTGATGTGGATATCTCGTGCACAAGGAATCAATGTGTTGTTATGTATACATTTGTCTCTTTTCTATTAAGAATGTATCTCTTTTCGATGTTATATCAATGTTGCCGTTGTAACTAAAATTAATTACAAACCATTGCACTATCTGGGAGGATGCTGATCGTTTCTAAGAAATCAACACATCTCCTCCTCTATATATATTTTATAACATTACAGGAGGCTTCATATTTTGCATAATCTCTCTTTACTAAAACTCCAGCAGCACAGATTTAACAATAAAGTTTAGTGAAAAAAACATTGCAACAGGGTATAAAAGACCCCTCCCCCTGTATCACTTCCTCTTTCTTTGCTGCTCCAGCCTAGGCACAGGTCAGAGTATTTGTTCTCAGCTCAGCTTACATTGTCTGTGTTTGTGTTGGATTTAAATTGAATTTGATTCTAATCATTCTTATTCTCGTTCCCCTGCACTCTCTGCTATCTGTCTTGCCCTTTTGATTATACATTTATTGGTATTATTCCATTTTCTCTTCACATCTACTGTCCCTAGGGGCACCATTTCCATATGGTGGACGGTGATCGCGTGCCGCGCCGGCAAAATTTGTGCACGAACTTTGGCCAGCATGAATCTCACAGTACCGCGAGATCCACGGCGGTCATTCTAATAGCCAAGTTGTGATTCCCACGATCTAGCCTGCTGTCTCCTATTTTCTATTATACAGTATTTGACCTTCCCACTATAGATGTATTATTTTCCAACTATATATCAAACAGTGTTGGATCATTCATATTATTTCTATGTTCTGTTGTACTGACTGTTTGTATTAGTGCCATACCTGATTTTATATTGGCAAATCACAGAGAAGGGATCCCACCTTTAAAGATAAATATGTCCATTTGTCCATTTAAACTTATACACTCCAAGAGGAGTAACCATCCTAGTGGCCCCAATTCCAGCAAGGACATACATTGGGGTGAATATTCACGACACTGAGAGCGGTGACCCCCCCTACCGTGGGGTGACCCCCAAGCGAACCTTTCACCAGCCCTTCAGTGGCAACTACATACTAACAAGGGTGCCCCACTGCCATATACAGACCACAGGTTGTAATAATATTCAGGAGCTTGTGACCCACAGTCACACACACTATTCTAAGGTTAAGGACCTACCGGAGTACACTTCATCTACAGAACTTGATACTGATTCAAATACAGTATTGTGTGGGGGACCTCCTTCTCTATGCCATGACAATTTTGGGACTGCATAGAACAGAATTCAATAGGATGTCCTCATCCTTTACGAATGGCGGCAACCCACGGACCTCTCATTGATGAAGGAATCCGGGTCCTGCTCGCCAAAGGAGCAGTCCAGTTGTCTCTGGACAGGTCAGGTTTCCTTCAACAAGATATTCGTGGTCAGGAAAAGACAGGGGACTGCTGTCCATCCATCAACTCACGTCACACGAACGACTTTGTAGTCTATTGCTATTTCAAGATGGAAGGTATTTGTCTGTTACAAGATCTACTGCCCAACAATTGGTTCATACATCTAAGAACGAAGGACGCCTATCTCTCCGTGCCCATAGCACCAGAGAGCACACGCCTCATCTTTCATCTGGTAGGACCGTCACATTCACATGACTACCATTCGGACTCGACTCGGCACCTTGGTGCTTCCCCATACTTCTGAAACCGGTAATGGTTCATGGACAATCACAAGGGTCCGTTGTCTGATCTGGACGACATATTATTCCTTTGCGATTCCATCTCCAGACTGCAGGAATCATCATAAGCAAGGGTTCATCAACTCTAACATCACCTCAGGTGATACAATTCCCGGGATTCGAGATCGAGTTGACCAAATGTGTCTTTTTACCTAACACAAAATTAAAGCCATTCGTAGAGAAATCAGGCATACTGATTTAGGGAACAATAGGCAGTTGAGGATAAATACATTAATATATATAGTCAAATTGTATGTAATAAGTAATCATAACAGATAATCGCAATCTCAAGATGTGTGATATAAAATAAACCACATAATAATGATACTCTGCACAAGGACTCTATCCCTTTCCGAATCCTGGCTCATGTGGTGGGAGCATGGACAGAGCATGATCCGGGATCTCACAGAGGTGACAATGGACATATACCGATTCTGCCTGCCTCGCAACACCACTCTATGAGCAGTATCCTTACCAGAATTTGACATCCTATGGGCGGACTGGGTTTCTCGACTCTGGAGGGACGTCAATGGATGGAGACTGAACGTCTCAATATTCCGCACACTGAGGACCCTGCGGGGTCTGCTCCAGTTGAACAATTTGCATCCCAGTCCAACAGACAATTACAGAGCTATTTTAGCTGGCTTCCGGATCTGGAGTACGAGGCAGTGCACGCTTTACTTCGGAATTGGACGTTCCAAGGAGCCTACGCTATTCCTCCATCCTCCAGGTTGGTGAGAGTCCTTCATCACATGCAGGTCCACAAGCTCACTCTGTTATTCGTCACTCCCTGATGGCAGAGTCAAGCATGGTGTCCGGATTTACTGGAACTATCTCAGAATCACCCCTCCTGCTATAATCCTTATCGCGTCTATTGACGAACACCCAAGGGGAATTGCATCCACTGGTCCTCCAAAGACACTTGGACCAAGTGGCCTGGGGCCCCAGGCACCAGAGGGAGCCCCAACTCCACATGGACCAGATGGAGTAATTGATGTATGGAGAGGAACCTTGATCCCTTTATGGCACCTGTTACAGCAGAGCTAAATTTCTTATCCCATCCCTTTTCGTCTGGAAAGTCGTATCCCCCTATCAATGTTACACGTTCGGCTATCTTGGCAGCTCATGCCCCCTACAGGGGACTCTTATTGGTCAGAACCCTCTGGTCTGTCACCTTCTAAGGGGGATTTGTCTGGCTAGACCACCCGCTCCCAAATACTCGCGTATGTGGCACATCGATCTAGTTTTACATTTTTGTTGTGTATGGCCAGACAATACAAAATTGTCATTGCGCCAACTCTCGGCGATACTTACACTTTTGTGTCCTTTTGTTTTGACGGATTGGGGACATTCGAGCGTTCAGCGTAGGCAGTTTTTCCTTCATTCTGAGATTTCTAACTCGCGTCAGACTAAGATGGAACTTCCCTCCGTCTCATTTTTTGGACTGTTTCCCGCTTCTGCATGGTGGACACTTTACTAGGATAGGTGGAGCGTAACTCTCCTCTATGGACACCCTAGTCAGAGCTCTTATTATTTATTTTTCTGGTGGATATCCCCAGCGGGTGTAAACTCTTGTTTTGGCGCTCACTCGGTTCAGGCGCAACCACATCAAAGGTTTTTCTGGTGGGTGCTTCGTTTACCGACATATTGTGATCCGCGGACTAGACTAGAGACTAGAGATAGTGCGTTCCGTGTTTGTTGCTACCGTCAGGTTTCTCATGCTTCTTTTGCTCTTCATCCCCAGCTTTAAAAATGCTAAATATGAAGCCTCCTGTCACGTTATAAAATTGTAGATTATGCTAACGCAGTGTACCTATAATCTTAATTTTATTAAGGACAGGAGGCTAGTATTTTCACAACCATTTTTTCCCCTCCCTGTTTATATGATTCATTGGTTTGTACTTCAATAAAGATTTGAATTCAGGGGGGTTTGTTTATTTCATTATTATGTGGTTTATTTTATATCTCACATCTTGAGATTGCGATTATCTGTTATGATTACTTATTACATACAATTTGACTATATATATTAATGTATTTATCCTCAACTGCCTATTATTCCCGTTACAAAAATGTTATTGTCTAATTTGGTAAATTCCCCTCTTTTTGTAAAGCGCTGTGGAATAAGCTGGCGCTATATAAATATCAATAATAATAATGACGAACAGTTCATTTCCAAGTCCCTTTCACGTCTTTTGTTTCTTTTCAGTTTGATTCTTCTTCATGGATCAATACATGGGATCATCTTCACACTCTACAACAATCATCCATTCCGGATTTGGATTGTTTACAGTCTGAATCTTCATTGTTATAGTTGTTTATTGTATTTACAGGATGTGTTTATGGTTATATTGCATCAAAGAAAGAGGAAGTGATACACGGGGAGGGGCCTTTTATACCCTTTTGCAATGTTTTTTTCACTAAACTTTATTGTTAAATCTGTGCTGCTGGAGTTTTAGTAAAGAGAGATTATGCAAAATACTCGCCTTCTGTCCTTAATAAAATTAAGATTATAGGTACACTGCTTTAGCATAATCTACAATTAAATTTAAGACATCTCTTTCGGATAAAACATCTTGTTTATACTTAATTTTCATCTGCTATTAATCAATTGGCTGACAGCAAAGCACTAAGCATTTTTGTCCACATCTTTAGAAGAATATAGTGGCATGTATGCATTCTATATGAGCCTATACAAAGATAATTTTATCATTTTTTCATTCAATCATGTTTCCAGATTGCTTTAGGTAAACTTTAGAAAAAGAAGAAGTAAAGCTACAATTCCACTTTCATTGATCTCTCTATGTGTGTTATATTATCATGAATTATATCATATCTTTTTCAATACATTGTATACTGATTTTAAGATGCTGTATACATTTCTTAATCTTTATAACATATAATTATATCGATGTATGTACTCCTTAGTTTATAAATGCACTGTCCAAATTAAGTGAAGTGATGGCTTACAAATAATAAATCTTGCTACAGAAGGGCACATGTGTCTTTAGGAAATCCTGACAGGCAGTACAACTTTACAGGGTATATATACTATGATTATTATTATTATTATGTTATTATTTATATAGCGCCAACAAATTCTGCAGTGCTTTTCAGTGGGTGGCCGAAAACATATAGTTGTGACAAGACAAATTGGACAAACAGGAACAGAGGGTTTGAGGGCTCTGCTCAATGAGCTTACATGCTAGAGGGAGTGGGGTAAAGTGACACAAAAGGTAAAGATAGTATTAGACTAATGACAGTTGAAAGAGAGGAATCAGTCAGGAGTTATTAACAGTTTAATTGAAACGCTTTTATGAAGAAGTGGGTTTTTAATGATTTTTTTGAAGGAGTGGAGACTGGGTGAGCATCTAACGGACGAGGGAAGTGGGTTCCACAGGAACGGTGCAGCCCTCGAGAAGTCTTGAAGGCGAGCATCAGAGGTGGGAGTACGGACAGAAGATAGACGTAAGTCTTCAGCAGAGCGTAAGGGCCTAGACGGTACATACTTGTGTATTAGGGAGGATAGATAGGTGGGAGCAGCATTGTGTAGAGATTTGAAAGCAAGAACCAGAATTAAAAATTGAGCCCTATATCTTACAGGAAGCCAATGTAGGGACTGACAGAAGGGTGAGGCGTGGGCGGTGTGGGCGGACAGGAAGATGAGCCTCGCTGCCGCATTCATTATGGTTGGGAGCATGTAAGACCACTGAGAAGTCGATTACAGTAGTCAAGGCAGGAAAGGAAAGTGGAATGGACCAGCATGTCCTCATGTCCAGTCGAATCTGGCATTAAGTAGGGTCGGATGAGCACAATGTTTTTGAGATGGAAGCGGCAGGATTTGGCAATAGACTGGACATGAGGTGTGAAGGAGAGGTTGGAGTCAAAGAGAACACCTAGGCAGCGAGCCTGCATGGTGGAGCTGATGGTAACACAGTTGACGTGGAGGGAGGGAGACACAGGAGTATCAACACTTGAGGGAAGAAAGACCAGTATTTCAGTTTTGGTTGAGTTTAAGGAAGCGGGCAGCCATCCAGTTAGAAATAGCAGAGAGGCAGTCAGAGACACTAGTCAAGAGGGACTGGGAGATATCAGGAGAGGACAGATAGATTTGCGTGTCATCCGCATAGAAATGATATTGGAGCCAAAGGAGCTAATGAGTTTACCAAGGGAAGCAGTATAAATGGAGAACAGTAGGGGACCAAGGACTGAACCTTGGGGTACACCAACAGAGAGGATTTGGGGAGAAGAAGCAGAGCCTAAGAAAGAAACACTGAAAGAGCGCTGGGAGAGATAGGAGGAGCACCAGGAAAGAGCAATATCTTGTAGACCGATATTGTAGAGGATGAGAAGAAGCTGTTGGTGATCAACAGTGTCAAAAGCTGCAGAAAGGTCAAGGAGAATTAGGATAGAGTAGTGATCATGAGATTTTGCAGCGAGTAGATCATTGGATACTTTTGTCAGTGCCGTTTCTACAGAGTGCTTAGCGCGGTAACCAGACTGAAGCGAGTCTAGCAGAGAATTGGACTCAAGGAAGTCTGTCAATCTCGCATACACAACTCTTTCAAGGATCTTGGATGCAAAAGGCAGTAGCGAGATAGGATGGTAGTTGGACAGGGAGTTAGGGTCAAGGTTGGGCTTTTTTAGAATTGGGGTTACAGTTGCATGTTTGAAGGGCAATGGAAATATGCCAGAGGAGAGAGAGAGATGGAGAATTTTAGTGAGAGGTAGAGAAAGAGAAGACAAAGTACGGATGAGATGTGAGGGAATCGGATCTAGGGAGCAGGTGGTGGGGTGGGAGGACTGCAGCAGAGTAGAAACCTCTTCCGCTGTAGTGGGTGCGAATGATCATAGAACAGCAGAGGGAGTGAGATTAGGGGAAGTATTGTAAGGGGAAGAAGAAAGATGAGAGATCTCTTCCCTGATTGTATAGATCTTGACAGTGAAGTGAGTTGCAAAGTCTGAGGCGGTCAAGTTAGTAGGTGGAGGAGGAACAATAGGGCGAAGAAGAGAGTTAAATGTGTGAAATAGTCGATTGGGTTCGCGGGAGAGCAGAAGGACTCCTCACTATCTTGAAAAAGCCCGCCAAGCACAGGCAAAACGTGTTGATGCTGAGGACCAAGCTTCCATTCATCTACATTTTCTCCGGCACCAGTAGTATACTTCTAGCGGTTTGAGACAACGGCATCCCTCCGACTTTATTCCAACTTTTGCGGCTGAAAGAAAAAACTTTATATGGTTCCAGCTGCTCCAATAGAAGGGTAATACTGGTTCATCCACTCACTGCTAAACTGCGTGTACTGGACTTAATAGTAGTTATTAACATTTTTTATACCACTTTCGTTATTTCAAATATCTCATTACTACAATTCTGAACTGTGGATTCTCTACACCATTTTACTTCTGACCATAATATATTTTCTTATCTGGTCAGTGCATATTCACCACTGTGGAGGTGAATCAAGACTAGATATACAATATCATATTGTGATATTTTTCCTTTTTTACTATAGGTAAAACTACTTAAAGTGCTGACACTTTGTAGATTGTTTGTGTTTTAAGCATGGGGACTGTGCATGAAAGGTGCTCCAATTCACAGTACAGACAAGGACACAAGCAGAAGGATTGTCGAGGATAAGCCAAAGTCAGAGGATGCCAGAGAGCAGGATAAACAAGAAGGAACGCCAACATCAGGAGCAAGGGTCAGTCTGGAGAACAAGTATCAGGAGACAAAACAGGAACAACTCACAATAACCAAAATCAAAGAACTGACAAAGTTTCCAGGACAAGGCAGAGTTTAAATATCTGGTTGATTAGCGATCTGCTAATTTACACAGTGAGAACTGTGACATCTAGACCAGTGATGGCGAACCTATGGCATGCGTGCCACAGGTGGTCCGCCAGGTCCTCTCTGTGGGCACGTGGCCATAGGTTCGCCATCAATGCAGAGTAGGCACTTGCTTTCCCAAAATGGCAGGTGCCTACTCTGCTTTCTTGTTAGGAGGACCGGAAGCAAGGGGATGGATCTCGGAAGCTGCTCTACTGTCCTCCCGCGAGCAATATGCGTGGAGCGTTGCCGTGCATTACCATGCACAACACAGCACCTCACATACACACCCCAGCACCTCAAACACACCCCTCACACACAGCACTCCACACCCTTACACACAAACACATACACTGCACCCCCCAATGCAGTATATGTGTGTGTGTGTATTCAGCAGTCTTTATGTATTCAGCAGTGTGTGTGTGTGTGTACTCAGCAATCTGTGTGTATGTGTACTCAGCAGTGTGTGTGTATGTATTCAGCAGTGTGTGTGTATTCAGCGAACTGTGTATGTTGTGGGGATATTTATGGGATAATAATAGTAAACAGTGAGAATTGCCCACTAATTCAATTCTCAGATCCCAAAGATCGTTATCGTGTAATTGAAAAGTATTTCATATAAATAAAATCACAATTTGTTATAAAAATAGATTTAACAGATTTATTTAACCAATCATGTTAAGATCCTTGTAAGTTGTATCCTGTAATCCATGAACCAGTTTAGTAGCCCTTCTCTGAACTCTCTCCAAAGTATCAATATCCTTCTGGAGATACGATCTCCAGTACTGTGTACAATACTCCAAATGAGGTCTCACCAGTGTTCTGTACAAT